TTTTAGCAAAGAGAAGTTGTTAGGTCAAAAACGGCCTAAATAGGGCGTAATGAGGGCCCAAAAACCGGCTTGGAGTGCTAACGGCGTCGTAGAAGCTGGAGAAGTTGCACCATTCACACCGGGACGGGCACGTGCAATGTAGGCAGCTTATCATCTGTCGACAATGGCACACGCATTTGGACAGCTCGTCCAAACACTACTTCCCCGCGTAACTTTTGTCGTCACTTTCTCGTCCGACCTCTAATTTAGCTACTTTTCGAAGCCTCATAATATTTCTCTAAATGGGCCGGTTTTCCCGTCTCCTTCACTATTCTGGTCTTCATTTGTGCAACGATCACTCTGAGTGCTTCTGTCCATTAAAGCTCTTAAATCTCCCTGGAAAATTGAAACTTTCACCTTACTTGTTAGTGGGATTTCCTCAATTGAGAACTAAATAGCATCACCGTCTTACAGAAAGAAAGGTTCATGCATTGCAAAGCTTACCTCTAGTACCCATTTCCTGGTCTTCCCATCTTACGTCAACGAAGGCGATCCGATTTACGACCGTTAACGTTCGTTCGCATGAAAAGCCGTTCTTCTGGAACGAGAATGACACATAGAATAATGACTAATCGTTGTTGTATGTGCGTAGGCCACCGCCTCAGTTACATTCAAAGCTCCATGTCATATGTGTGTACTCGTGTGGGAGCAGTTGCGCATGAATATCCTTTGTTAGCTCTTGAAAGCGGCTTATGGATTCCCGTCGTTCATATCGCTGTCCCTAAGCTGTATACGTTTCACGACCGGCCCTCTTTTCAACAGTTCTGCGGCCTGAACAGGCTTTTGTGAAGGAATGAAATGACTTTTGCAAATACTGCTAAGGTCATGCCTACTGTAAGGGACGTTTTGAGAGCAAAACCTTCATTTCTCTCGTCAATTAGTGCAGTTTTTTTTTGTAATAAAAATCCCATTGAGGAATGTTTGATCCTTTTTGATGACTTTCGGAATCTGTTTATGAATCTGGACTACTTTAATCATTGCGCCTTTATGTTCTCCGGCCGTCGCCCTACGAGGCGCTGCCCATTTCAAGCCGTTGAACTGGTCGTCGCTTTCCGTTGCACGTTGCATTAAGTGATTTCTCACAAATGTGATCGTTTTTATAACAACGGTGTCTTTCCGCTTTCCATTTTTATTTAAGTGTTTTGCCCCCCTCTACTTCTCCGCTATATAAGTGAATGTATAGGCAATGTATAGAACATCCATCCACTAGGGCTACTGCAGTCATAGGTTGTCTAGTTCGATGTTGTACTTTCACACCTGCTCGACTCTGGAATTCCAGTTATTTCTGCTAAAAGAGCTAACCTTGAGGGGGACTTCAACCACTGGAAATGCGATCGTGATCTTTACGGAAAGCTCAGAAGATCCTTCTCTTTCAAGATATGCCTCTCCGTTCACCGCCGAGGCTTCCAGGAAACAATATCACGTATAGTATATGCCTATAGACAAGGGGCTTTCAAAGGCTAAGCACCTTATCTCTATTTCCCAAGAGCATGCTCTGCCTGGAGGGCTCGTTGGATTCCCGCATTTGCAGCTGACTGCTTTATTGACATCTTGCGATGCTATGTAGGCGATCTCTTCCGAACTGCTTCACACGAATTCTGCTTTTCGATTAAATCTGGGACTGTATGGCTTTGCTAGATAATTCTTGTTTTCCTAATAGCATGCATGATGTTTTCATGGGTTAGGGTTATAAAAAACAGAAACTTGTTTTTTTGTAATCTTCAGCAGTGAAAGAATGAGGGCCTGTTGTTGATTTCATCGCTGCTCACTTGATTCACGATCATGGAACGTGACTAGCCAGTGTATGTAGTGGCCATGTAAGAAATTTGTCGGGTCGTGAATGACATGAAGCGTCTGCATGGATCTGTTCGGTTCGGTTTTTCGTAGAAGTTGTTCGTCGCCATTGCACCTGCTGGTAGCTGGTTGAAGTTACAACCAGTTCTGAGGTTTCATTCAGTTTCGTTCTCATCGCACTGAGCCTCATGTTTCATGAATCATCAATCCTGTTGCATCATTGAAGAGTCGACCAGCACCACGTGCTCAGGCTGTATGGGTTGCATTCTTTTGCTATAAATTTGTTGCTTTTCGCTCGATTACGGCCCCCTTGGCTGACTTCTTTCGCATTTTTCAATTTTTTTTCTATCCGTGAATATGGAATAAGACTGCCTAAGACGTCTTGTACAGTCTGTTGATTCTTTCCATCGGCTGAGCAAGTCGTCTATCAACCGATGCGGACATTTGCTGTTCTCCTTCAGCTTTATTTACATAGGCCTTACGTGTATACATTCAGAACACCTTCACAGAACTGCTTATGGGATCGATTCCTAGGTGTCTTTTTTAGCAAAGCGATATTCTAGCAGAGGATCGAATTGCTAGATTTTCATTTTTCTCACAACTTCCTACTCACAGAAAAAGTAAGGATAGGCTGCTGCCGACCTTCTTTTCTGCTGCGCTTTACAAAATTCGAGCAGGATAGCTGTAATGCATTCTTGTTAAGCTTTCTAGCCTAAGTGCATGTTTCGGATCGCGTCTAGCCGGGGCCCTTTTTAATTAGAGGCTCAGCTGGTTGAATGGCTGGCTTCAACCATTTCCCTATATAATCGAGCAATTGTTTGTTGCGTTTCGGTACGACCATAGGGAAGCTTTAGGACGTGGCGGTTCTCACCGTAGAGCTCTTTTTGTTTGTTCTGCTGGGACTAATGGTTTGATTATTTGAACAGTACCAGTTGCTTGCTTGCGTAATGTGGTGGTGTGGTGAATAATAGACTGCTTTGCGCGTAGGTATAATTGTGAACGTCGCCGGATGTGGCTGAGTCGATTGATCGGGCGATGTCTAGGTATTCTGGAACGACAGCGCCATTGCCCTATATGGGGATGTTCTCTTCAATTCTCGATGACCAGGGTTGAATAGGTGGCTCTGCGATGACAGTTACCATGCTAATAACTCATCTTGACATGGCGTCATGAGGTTATGGTCATCGATGGTTGCATCTTTGACGTTCAGAAGAGGATTGTTGAGTTGGCATAAATGGCATCGTCAGAACACTATAATTGGCATCTTTTCCAACGACTGAGTTCTACAGTAATCTGAAATTTCCGTTATACTGTCATTAAGAATTCCAAAGGCAAATGATGAGGCATTCATCCTTGTGTTTTCTTTAACGATTCAGCTTTTTCAGGCGACTGATCCTGTGTTTGTCGCTCCGCCTCCTCCCCTTGAAGAACCGGCCATGAATAAACCAAGACCTCGTTTATGCAAATTAGTGAGTTAAGACATTTCGTGCTAAATGAATTCTGCAGCAGGTTCAGAACTGTGAGATGTTCAGGAAAAGTCCTCGCAATCAGAGGAGTTCGGCTTCAACTTGCACGCTGAAAAGGGCCGTGGCCATTTTATTGGTACAGTTGACCAAGGCGGTATCGGAGACCGTGCCGGTCTTCGAATGGGCCAGCGTATTGTTGGAGTCAATGGAGTGTTGGTATACCCTAATACACCTCATAAGGTGAGCTGTTTTTCCTTCTATTGAGCAGGAATGCGTGCTCTAAATGTACGCTCTTATTCAGTCCGCGCTTCTTTGCTGTTTGTTGGAATCAATTGACGTTTTACAGGAAGTTGTTGCACAAATTAAACGTTCACCGCTACGTACAACACTATTGGTCGCATCAGAAGACGTAGATAGATGGTACAAAGAGCATGGCGCAGAATTCTCGTTTGATTATGTCGAAGAAGAAGCTACCAATCATCATCAGCAACTCAGCCCACACGTAAGTTTTCAACATTGCCCTTTGTAGGCGCCACATATTCCCCATGTTCCGTGCGCGGTATGTTACCTTCGTAGTACCGTCATGTCTGTTTTCGAGTCCAATTCTATGCTATCTAAGCAACGCATGTCCTTCCTGCTGGCGCAAACCAAACCAATCAGGGTTACTCTTTCTCTTATAGCGTTTTTTTTTTCATTATTTCTGTTTTTTTAGTATATTTTTAAAACACTCAAGCGGATTGATTAC